TTTACAGCAATCAGCAGCAGCAATATACTCGGCGTCAGTACTAGAGAGCGTAACGATAGGTTGTTTTCTAGATGCCCATGCAATCGGACCTCCCCCAAAACAAATCAAGTACCCAGTGGTACTTCTCCGAGTATCTAAGTCTCCTGCAAAGTCTGCATCACAGAAGGCCACTACATTACTATCTCCCCTAACATACTCAATACCCAAGCCAGATGTACCTGTTACGTATTTTAGAATAGATTTAATAGTAGACTTATTATTTTCTTTTGGATTATTTTGGTGTCTACTACAATAGCCCACATGAAAAGCGATGTCAGGACGAGATTTATTAGCTACATACAGTAAACAACCCACTTCCTCCCTATACTCCTCAATTAGACGGTCATCATTTATAACAGGATGTTCACCAGTAAATTTAGAGGGCGTAATCGTTGTCTTTACATCTTGCAAATTTAATGTACAATTAATTTGTTAATGTAGCTAGTCTGAGCTATTTTTATCCCATTATCGGTAATATTAACATCTATACCAATAAAATTACTGACACTGTCACAAACACACATTTCAAATTCACTATTAAGTTCTTTTAGAATTTTATCAAGTTCCTCAAAAGAGTTACAAGCGATCAAACCATAATATACATATACAGCAAGAAAAACAACATCACCATTCAATTCTTTAATGAAAATACAATGATCACATTTTAATTGTAAGAAACCCATTTTCTTCAGAACACTCGTAAAGATTATTCCACATCAAAGGAGCTTGTTTTAGACCGTAAAGACTTTTTCAACCTACAAATCTTCCCGCGTTGATTGGTAATCTCAGATAATACATACTCTTTTGATGTCAACTATGACCTGTCTGATTTATGTATTATGTTTGAATTACTTTAAATTTGGAATGTTAGTTTTATTTGTTCAGACTGAATTGTGTCATATTTGATTGATTCTGTAAAAATACACACACTTTGGAGAGGGTTAGCTCTGGTGAGACGGAGAGATGGTTGAGAGTTTTTTCTTAGGAGAGGAATGGCACGTGGGAGTTGGTTGGTGAAAAGGAGGCTGAAGGGAGAAAACTTTTAGCAGACAAGTGGGTCTTTCTTTGCTGGGAGGTCGGATGGAAGATGTAGGGCTGGATTGGTAATCGGAGGTTTTCAACAGAAATGTAAGGTGGGACTATGGGGAGGTCTTAAATTGTTTTGTCGATGGCGACTCGGAGGAGTTTGAGGTTGGGACGGTTCGATATCGGAATGGCGTTTTGCGTGGAGAGTAGAGGAGAGGATTTTTATGCAAATTCCTTAAGGTTATGTTGTGAAGAAGGGGAAGATTTGTGGGTTGAATAAGAGTCTTTTCGGTATAAAACTAGCTCCTTTGATGTAGAACATTGGTGTTATTGTCTTTTGATAGACGTTATTAAGACTTTTACGTATTTTAATTCTAAACCTTTGTGTAGGTAGTGCTAGTGTAAGGGGTTGTTAATAATAAAGATTCGCGCAGTGGAAGCTTATATGTAATATTGTTGTAAGGGGGAAATGATTGGAATTCAAAGCGGAGTTTTTCAGAGAAACTTTTCAGAATTTTTCATATCTCCTGTTCCCTTATGGTGTATTATGTTTTTCTTGTATTTTTGTGGTTTTAGTAATTATTAAGAGTTTTGGTTTTCATTGAGAGTGTTATTGTTGTTTTATGATTGGTGGTTTGTTTGTTGATAATTTCTAAATTTTTTTTTGGGTTTTCTGTACTTGTCTGGTGTTATGATGTATATTTGAGATAAGGGGGTGTGTTGATTGGTAATCTCAGATTATACATACACTTGAAGTCAACTATGACCTGTTTGATTTATGTATTATGTTTGTTTACTTTAAATTTGGAATATTAGTTTTATTTGTTCAGACTGAATTGTGTCATATTTGATTAAAGAAGTAACATGTCTGTTTGACATAACTCTTGTATTTTACATAAATTTCATAATGTTTACGTTACGTCTAAAATAAATTCAAAATGTTTAAGTTAAAATAAATAGTTTTGTAATCAGTCCTTAAGTGTCTTTTTGGTTTGAAACTGATCGCATTAGCCACATCTACCATTCATAGCTCTATCATTTTAAATTTATTTTAATTGAATTACGATTTTAAATTTATTTAATTAAAGTTATTTACATTTGCCCAAATAAGTTCGAAGGTTGGAGGAACTTTTGCAGTTCCTTGTCACCCGAAACACATTCGTCAGTTCTGTGGCGAAACGTCAAGAGATTTAGAACAGCTATAAATTCTTCCAGTGCGCCTCTCCTTCCTATTGCATTAGCCGATCAATTCCTCGAAGGTTTTTAAACGGTTTTATTTAGCTCGACACGTACGGAATTTATTTGTTTATTTGGGTCAAAATTAGAAATTGAAATTTAAGCACCTTCCCGTTGTCAGATTGATCTGAAATTTGGTACACACATTTAATTTAGATGACAATACAATATTGTAGTTTTCAGTGCACAAAAAAAAAACAGAAAATAAAACCGTTTAACTTAAAAGTTTTTAAACGGTTTTATTAAAACCATATAAATAACAGTCTAATGTTGAATCTTATCGCCCAATAGTTTTATCATCGGTAATTACTAAAGTAGTTGAACATGTAATTAAATACACCTATTAGATTGGTCTGGAAGGGATTGCCGCAAGGTTCTGTACTAAGTCCTTTACTGTACAACATATGTACGCACGACTTGTCAACATATATACAAACATATATATATAAATACACGAAAGGTCTGTTGGTGATAATATTAGTATCCTACATTATGCAGATGACTCAGTCATATACGCCTCTGATAAATCTGTAGCAATTGCGTGTGAACATATTTCTTCATATTTATCTTCTTTAAAAACTAATGGCTTAGATCTATCTCCGTCAAAGAGTAGCTGCATTATTTTTACCAAATCTCGAAATCCTCACACACCTACTATTACTTATGATAATACACCTTTATCCAGCAAAAATCTAGTAAAGTTTTTAGGGGATGTACTTGATGCAAAACTAACACAGGTCTAGCCCATTGCGAGTATGTAGTTTCAACATGTGAACGGAATTTGAATATGCGTAGACATCTGACGCGGTCTCTGGTGGGGCGCTCATCCTGCTACTATGAAGTTAGTTTATAACGCTGCTATTACAAGTATTTTAGATTTTGGTACTTTATTTTTAGATACTGGGAATGTGGCAGGTTTTAAAAAGTTGTACCTGTTTTATTCAAAGGCATTAAGACTGATTGCATGTGCAATGAAATCCACTCCCGTTAATGCACTTCAAATAAAATGTTGCGACCCCCCTTTAAGCTTTAAGCGCCAATATCTCTTTGACAGATTCATTTCCGGCTTGTTCAATATTCTAATCATCCTTTAGCTTCCAAACTTTTATTATTGTCAGAGAAATTGTCTTCTAGTAATAAGCCCTTTCCATGCCTATTAAAAATTTTCAGAAATATAAATCGTTACAAGCTCCTACACATTCCTTTAGAGTCCTACCTTTATTTAAAACTTCATATGATTCTCTTCTTTTATCTCTCCTACTATTTGTTTTTCTCTCAACATAGATAGGTCCGATTGTAATGCAAACATTACTTTTAACCATATTATAAATACCAAATGGCCAAATTAGCATGACATATATACTGATGCATCCAAACGTCCTACAGGGTGTGTTGGAGTAGGTGTAATTCATATCCAAAATAATTTAGTCCAAAAAATAAAATTACCACCAGAAACATTTATATTTACGGAGGAATGCTTCGGTCTTCTGAAAGCAATAGAATATAAGTTTTAAACTCAACAAAAGTGTTATATTTACAGATTCAATCAGTTCTTTACAAAGCTTAGAATTTTCCACAAAACCTTTTTTCCACATAACATTTGAATGTAAGAGAAAGTTGTTGCATTGCCAATTAAATAACTACACAGTCACTTTCTGCTGGATACCTAGCCACTGTGGCATCATAGGAAAGGTAACTGTGAGTGGCGATTTATACCCATACACGATTTTCGGACACGACCTGCTTTACCTAGCACATTTTTTTAATTTTTTTATTACTTAATTTTTTTAAAACATTGCTCGTACTTTAGGATAACATTATTCTGTGTTGTAAGGACGTTTTACAAACATAAATTTCACGCGGACAAACAACCAGATGCGAAAGAACTATCTGCGGGTCACACAAATAATTGTCCCGTATGGGAATCGAACCCGAGACCCCCGACGCCGAAGCCAATACCTTGGTAACTGCGCCACGGAGTCATCAGTTACACATCTCTGTGATACAGGGAATTTGAGCTGGAGAGAGAGCGGTCAGGTCAAGGGTCGCTTCCTCTACGCTTTACAGCCTTTAGTCCCAAGAAAACCATGGTTTGCCAAACTGTGTTTTAATAAAACTGCCACTTCGTCTTTAATCCGCATGCGTCTTGGACATATTTGCCTTACGATACCTCTGCATAAACTTGGTATGGTATCTAGTACTGCCTGTGAATGTGGTGAGAATTATTGCGATATGAATCATGTTTTCTTTTCCTGTTCTTTAGATGACCATTTCTCCCTATACGAATCTGTAATATCTCTCTCTATTCTTCTTCCTTCTACAATTTACTTAGTTCTTAGAGATAATAGACCCTGCGCATATAGTACACTAAACTGTAAATAATAAGATTAGATTGTAGTTTAATTTTTTGTTTTCTTTTGTTATATAATTTTTTTATTTTTATAGATATGAAATTATTATAATTTGTTTTTGTTCGGGAATTAATCCCGGTACGGTTTTAATTATTTTAATTCGCGTTATACGTTTCTCTCGCTTTGTTGACAAATTGTAAAATACTTGACACTGGTCCAATGCACGAATGGTACCGAGCCATAATTAAGAAGAAGTATTTACTTTATTACTCTATGGTTGTCATTGTCACTGTCAGGCCTTGACAGAAAAAATATTTTCACTCTGCCTTCCCTTTACCGACATTGAAAATGGCATTAACTTTATTAAAAAAAGCTCTTATTTCTAATCCACACCGTATTCGTAAGGTTGCGGGAATAATATGTGCCAGAAACCGTAAATATTCTTTAGCATCTTCGTGTCTATAACGTGTATTGGATAATTATTATGTGTTACGTCACTTGTCGTTTTTACTTATAGATTGGAACTTCCAATACAAACCCGGCCCATATCCAAGAACTCCGGAAGAAAGAGCAGCAGCTGCTAAAAAGTATGGATTGACTATTGAGGAATATCAACCTTATCCTGAAGAAATGTGCTATGGAGATTATCCTAAATTGCCGGATATTGGTTCGGATTCTAAGGATCCACATTATCCTTATGATTATCCAGAACTTAAAAGAAATTTTAATGAACCTGTGAGTGAGATTCAATTGAATATTTGGTAAATGTTTAAAATAGCGGTACACACTGTAATAAGATTATTTAATATAATTTGTAAAAAATCCTTGGGCAGCTATTATCGCGCGTGTATACTTTATACAAATTGTTGATAGACTGAAGATACATATGTGTGGAGCGCCAAAGGATGGGGTTAAGTTTAGAAAGAAATGTTGATAAGGGATGTTGGCGCGGTTTGGAAAAGGGAGTTGTAAGCATAGCTACTTATATTGACCAGTTATAACAGTATAGAAATATTCATAATCAATAGAGAAACAACCAAAACAATAATTTTGAATAAGAATACAGTGATACTTAAAAAAATATAATTAATAAATTAGGTTCAACATTTTATAGCATGTCTTTACAATCACGAGGATCACGACAATAAATGAACACGCATATAGAGGATAACTTTTAAAATTATATTACAAATTTTCATTCTTTAAACATCAATATTTACCGAGTTATTAAATTTTCTAAAACAATTTTAGAACACCTTTACATATAAAACTGTAACGGATATGAATGGGTTGAATGAATTTAAAAGAGACAAAACATACTGTTAGAAGGAGAGGCTTGTAATGCAACTCTGTGGCAACAAATGAAAAAGTTTGAATGTATGAATCAGTCGGGTGTAGTTGTATAGGATGTTACAAATTTTGTTTCTTTTTTACTTAGTTTGTTTGAAAAAAATTTTTTTTTAATTATGTATTTCTTTTAATGTTAATATTTTTTATGATTATTGGCAAGTAGCATTACACCTGTGTTCATTTATTGTCGCCGTTGTAACGACACACTGTATATTTGAGACTGATAGGTTCATAAGGTGTATATTTTATAATTCAAATTCAAATATCTTAATTCAATCAAGTATCATCAAGTACCATCAAGTATCATTTTGTTTCAATCTTACATAAGTTCCTTAACATGGTTTGTGGTAGGTATGTGTCAGAAAAAATCAATTTGATTCTTTTCGAGACCATATTTTTATTTACATTTAAAATTAATTTAAATTGAATTATATCCAAAACTGAATTTTAAAAATAAAACAGGAAAGTTATAAAAAATAACTGTTGCAATCGGGGACTGCCATGGTAAAGCTATTACATAGCACTTTTTATCAATTTATGCAATTATGATTATTTATTCATTTCTTATTTATGCAGTATTTTTTTTTCTTTGATATTAATTCAAGTTACACTTTTTGAGTGTGGTGACCAATAAGAAAACAATTTTTTTCTTTTCTTGATTAAATGAAAGTTAATATCGTTTTAAATATTTTTATTATCTTACAATACATGTATGTTATTCAGGAATTTTTATTATTGAAACTAAAGGTTAATGGTAACTGAAATAAGAAACATATGTTTGAGACTTGATATCCTCTAAATATCATATCGTCATATGATAATGGAATATTATAATATCCATCTGTGCGAGCTTCTTACAGTTGTACCATATACATACACGTTAAGCGAATGCTCGGCCGAGCTACATGGTAGGTGGAATGAGGGGTGTTAGGTTTTATTATCTTTACGGAATTTCTTAATTCGGTCGCTGCGCTCAAACCCCCGATAAAAGCTATGCAATAGTTTAAAACCTTCTTACTGACAGGTCCCATGACTGCAAACATTTTTGCATTATATATTTTTTTGTCATTGCTGTGATAATTGCTCTGATTAATAGATAAATAAAATTTAAATGTCATCTTAAGTAGTAGATAAGCACTAAAAATAAAAAACAACCCTAAAATATATTTTTTTACTTTTGTAGGAGTAATAAATTAGGTGGTACTCCTTCTGAATACATAATCTTAGCCCATTGTATACAGTAGTTGTGTTTTGGAGCATAAATAATAAATTATATTTTTTCTACAGATACATGCCAGCCAGGAGATCTATGGTGAAGATCGTTATGATATCAGCATGAAACCCAGATTTTCACTTACGCACCAATGGCTGTGGTTCTTAGGTGCCATAGGTGGTTCATTTGCTTTGTTCTTTTTTTTGGAAGATTATAAAATTGGAAGGCCAGTCACCAATAAGCAATATCCTAAGGATGGACCTCATTATTTGTTCTGTGCAAAGTAGAGAATTTCTGCAGGCTTTCCCAAAATCATATGTGGATGGCTTTTAAGTGGTAATTTAGCCAAAAACCGTTAAATAAATAGTTATCAGAATAACTCATTTTTTTATGTAGAACTGTGGGACACAATAAAGACGTGAAATGAACTGTTAATCTTATTCACTTTTTATTGATATAAACATTTTCATATAAGAATAATAAGTTATCACACATCAATTTGAACATTTATGTAAAGTAGATTAGAATTATAGTGAAATATAAACAATAAAATACTTAAATTGTTATTATTAAAGTTCATAAAAGAATATTCAGTCTAGGGAGACTCATGCACAATCTCAAGTGTGAATATTGGAACCAACATGTCCATATGATTTTCAGTAAAATCATCTGCTTTAACCTCGTTCTTGCGCGTATACAAACGACAAACGACGGTACTGTGCAACATTGTGGCTTTCAATAATCTCATTAAGTATTCTATGAAATAATATTATTATGAAAACCGCCAAAAAAGCAAAGAAGAGAGAAGATCAACTACGTGAATGACTATTTTAATCGATCCCGGCAGCCATCATAAACCCGTCGATTATGTCCATCGACAAGCTGGCTTTAATCGGCAAGGATGGACAGCGAACGAAATGAAAATAATTAGGGACATGACATCAGATAAGGAACGACATATTCACGACTCATTGGGCGGTAAGGAAAACGAAAGAACACTCGGTTTGCTTTGGCATGATAAGAATGACCATATTGGGCTCAATATAAAGAACTGAACAGTAATAGGGCCACGCAACAGTCTGCTGTGCAGGGCAGATCCGTCCGGGGAAGTACCAAAACCTCGAGACGACTACAGAATATCGGCGTGAAGAAGTGTTATACATACTTTTGCATTTAGTCTGGTGAGTGAGGTAGCCATGAGGCAAAGCTACTGCAACCGTACGTGTATTGCAGATATAGAAGAGAGAAACATCGATTTTTAATTAATAGATTTTTTTCTCTCAAAGTCACATTCGTAGACTTAACCTATGTAAATACTGCTTCGCGCTCGCTCCTATAGCTTCCCGGGTTGGAACTATCAAAAATGTCTGGCTAGTGGGGAAACATCGTTTACTTATTACCCAAGTATGATACATAAAAATTAGCTTTTATACTATAATGTAAGTAAAATTATAATTTCATGAACATTAAAGGGTATCTGGCAAGCATTGCCACAATAGAATAACGTGATTTTTAATAATGTTCAGAAGGTGATACCAAAAAATCGCACTTTATTATTTGATGAATTTAGATCGGTATTTTACGCACATTTAGTACCATTTACCTGTTTATTTTATAAAATAACGAAGGTCTGGAGTTTACGAACTCTTAGACTATAACAGCGACCCGTAAACGAAATAAATCAAATAATATTGAATACAGAGCGGTGAGAAAGTAAATGGCAAATCCGCGATACTTCCAGTACCCTTTGATTAGCGAGTACCTCGAAAGAGCAGATCGTTTATGGTTGTGTACTAGAAAACGATAAAGTTTACCGCGTGAATTACAACGAATAAAGGAAGGAAACGCTCCAGGGAACGATGATAAATTACACTTGTGCATTTACATCGACGAAGAGAATATGCTGCGTTTAAAAGGTCGCATTAATACGTCGGCAATAAAAGAAAACATTTCGATTCCATCCATATTAGACGGGACGGCAAGTATGAGAAGTTACACTACGGAGGTGTAGAAGAGAATGAATTACGCCAACGATTTTTGATCATGAGAATACGGCCCAACAGTTAAAGATATTATTAAGACTGTTTATTATGCTGCAAAAAAAAAAAAAAAGCGAAACCGGCGTCACCGTTAACGGAGGACTGCCGTCGGCTCGTCCAGCACATCATGCGCGTCCTTTACTGGTTTGGACAACTTCGGCCCAATTGAGATAACCAGTGCGCGTCATTATGAAAATCGCTATGAAGCTTTGTTTAGTGCATGACGTCGATAGCCGTCCACATAGAAGTCGTTAATTCACTGACTACATTTCGAACTAAAACGATATTTGATTGATTAATAAAAATAGTTTCTAATCTTTTTTATTAGTAAAGTGTTAAACAAGCTATTTTATTTTAATACAATCAGTTAAAATTTGGTGTACTTTGGTGTAATTTGGTGTAATAATTTTGAGTATGTTTTAGCCATTTTCACTCATTGTCCAGGCTCTCGCTTTTAATTCATATACTTGAGCAACCTGAGTTTAATCCTTCGTGCTGGCATTAATGAAATTGTTAAATTTAAATGACATCACATGCTCAGCGGTGAAGGTAAACATTGTGAGGAAACCTGCATATTTTCAAAATAATAACAAAAAAATATCTCAAAAATATGTAATCTGCTATTCCACACTGGGGCCGCATGTTAGACTATGTCCTAATACCCTTTGTACAGAAGAGGCCCTTGCCCTGAAGTGGGACATATATAGCTGTTACTTTACTTTTACGTAGTTTGATAAATTGATTTTTTTAAAATTCTCTTAAGCTATGTTATGCATAACATAGCTTACATAAAAAGTTAAATGAAAATAATCTCGGACCTTTTTTGGCTCTACATGGTATTTGTGTATAATGCATATGTTTGATAAATAATGTAAGAAAAAACAGAATGTACCTTTTCAAATACTATTTATAGATACTAGTAAAGTATTCATCTTCCAAATCATATAAATCTGCTGCTATGTCATCTCTAAGTGACATCAATTTTTGATCACATTCTTGTTGTTTAGTGCGAAAAAGTTTTGAATTTTGGGTAATAGCTTCATTAACTGATGGAAAGTCATTTAAAATCAAATATTGCTTTATGTCGGAAACCAGCTTCATAAGGGATTCCCCAGCTCTCACTGTAATTCAACAAATGTTTTTAATTAATTCTAATTTGATATCATAAATACAGATTGTAAAGATTATATTTTGTATTACCTATGTTTGCTGCCCTTACTTGCATCTCAAATGTGTCTTGTTCAATCTGAGTCATTCGATTTAGCTGTGAATCATTTTCACCTTTTGCGAGTTTGATAATTTCTGAAACAATATTATTATGAATAAGTTTAAAATTTTGCTATTCATTATTTGAAAAATGGCACATAAATAAACAAGTAGTATTCCCTGCTAAGAAGACCATAATCATCTTGTCAAATAGTGTTGTTATTTTAAGCTACATTTTTAAATATATTATAAAGAGTAATGAATTTTAAGTAAATTAGTAATTTTTTAAACAAAAGTGTGTAATTTACGGATATGTAAAGGTTCTGTATTTTCTGGTTATTCGTTTGTTATAGTTACATTAATATCGAGGCTAATATCGCACGCATACCTTCAAAATTTTCAAGCATACTTTTGACATCTTCTTTCAGACGTGTTGTATAAGATTTTAATAAAGCTTCTTTATTTTGCGGTAGATTTCTATGCATTATAAAATATGTTCCAG